CTGGGAAAATTGGTTTTACCTATGAAAGTTAAAGCTACACGCATCTCCCTGGCCATACATCAAAATAACATAAAAATGGATCAAAGACCTAGATATTGATATAGAAAAACTTAATCTTTTGAAAGATAAAAATCTTAAAGACAGGCATAGGCAAATAGTTTGTTTTTTTTTTTCAGTTAGAGCCACAACTCCAAAAGTAACAACACCAAGAATCAACAAAAGGTTCACATCAAATTATAGTGCTTCTGAACAGAAAGGAAACAGCCGATAAAGTGGAAAAAAAAATCTTATGCAAGAGGGCAACTGAACTGAATAGGCACTTCTCAGAGTAAAGAACACAAATGGCTAATAAATATATGAAAAACATGACTAACATTTCTGGCCATTAGTAAAATGAAACTTAAAACAACTCTGAGATTACTTCTTAGCTCAGAAAGAATGTTTATCATTAAGAAATCAAATAATAATAAATTCTGGTGAGACCATGAGGAAAAAATAACTTTACCAGTATTGGTGCAGATATAAACTATGATAACTACTATAGAAATCATTATAGAGACTTCTTAAAAACAAAATTCCATTTGACCCAGCTATCCTTCTTCTCTTATCTTCCTAAAAGTATTAAAGATATCATACTGTAGTGATATGTGTATACTTATATTTATAGCAGCACAATTTAAACAACTGTATCTTGGAAGTGGCCTATATGTCCATCAGTAGATGAATGGATGAGGAAAATGTGGTATTTACACAAGGTGGAGTATTAGACTGACATATGGAAGGATAAATCTGAGACCTTTGTAGGAAATTGGATGCACCTTAGAACAGTAACATTAAGTAACATAAATCAGACATACAAGCTTAAATATCACATAGGTTATCTTACGTAAGAAACCCAATGTGCCGGGGAGATGGCTCAGTGGAATAAGCGCTTCCCTAGCAAGTGCAAGGACTTGAGTTCAATCCCTGGTTCCGCAAAAAAAAAAAAAAAAAAAAAAAAAGAAAAAAAAAAAAAAAAGAATGTGTGTATATATATATATATATATATATATATATATTATAAAAAACAAAATAATAGATAATATGAAACGGCAATAAATTTTTGCAAATTGGCAGGGAAGCAAGAGATGGATGCAAATGTGACAGGGAGGGGAGGGACAAGAGGTAAAAAGAATTGAGATATGCTATGAAATGTGCCTCCCCATAGTGAACGTAATTATTATATACTGCAAAATATGCTAACAAAATTAAAAAGTAAATTGGTGTTTATGGTGTAATATGACTCAAAATAAATAAAGTGAAATAAATACCTCACTACAAAAGAATTCTATTGAAAGTCTAGGGGCCAGGGAGATAGCTCAGTAGAATAATCGCCTGCCCGGCAAGCGCAAGGTCCTGAGTTCAATCCCTGGTAACACAAAATAAAATAAAATAAAGTCTTTAAACTAATTTACTTAGCCAGGGACACTGGCATGAGCCTGTGTGTCCAGCAGGCTGAGACAGCAGAATGGCTTGAGCCTCACAACTCTATCTCAAAATGTAAAAAGATTTTAAAAGTTAACAGTGCATTGTTAGGTTCAGTAGGAAAGTGTGATTAATGTCACCATATGTTAAAGGTGTGTTATCCAAAATATATTATGTTGCCACTCCCTGTTTTACATGCTACTTTAGGTTTATCAATTTTTAATAGGAAGAATTGGCTTTTAATGTATTTTTTAAACGGATTATGTTTTCACCTGATGGTATTCAAGGAGTTTTAAAAGGCCAGTAGAATTCTTTCATGAATCTAAACACATAAATAAAGAGTAATTAAAGCTTTAATAGCTAAGCACATGCTGTGAAATGCTGGTATGTTGGAGAACACAACCTCATTTTTTAAATGTAATTTGTTTTCTAGAAACTCAAGTTATGATGACACTGGACAGAGTTTTACATAGGTTTCCATGTCCACTTTGGAAAAGTTCTTTACTCTTTTCCAGGATCTTTTCAAATGTATATATCCCAGTGCAATGGGTAAGTATTATGCAGAATGACACAGTTTTGCAGACATTGGTAGGTGTTATTGAAGGAGGAAAAACACACAGTATCAGATGTGGCTGTCTCAGACTTGAAAGATTTACAAAGATAACATGATTGTGGTTATCATTGTGATACAAACCATACACAATCTTTTCTTCAAAGCTCTATTTTCTTTTTTGCAAATTTGCCGCACATGTCTTAATATGTGTACGATCCTGAGTTCAGTGGCACACCACAGCCTACCCTGTGACCCTGACCTTCTGTGCTGTGGTTTCCCTTCCCTGCCTACTCACAGTAATGAATGAAAGAACAAACTTATCTGGTTTCCTCTGCCACTTGTGGCCAGTCCACTGAATGGGCTGGTTGTAAGCAGTATGTGCCAAGAACTAGATTTCATTTTAGGGTGACCAGGTAGGAATTAGGGAGTCCAAGAGGCAAGGTAGGATCTCCACTCCCCTCACACACACACAAAAAAAAAAAAAAAGAAAAGAAAAAGAAAGAAAGAAAAGAAACCCTTAGAGAAAGCCCAATCGTGGAGGGTCCTAGTTTTGCCTACCAACCTTATGCTAAAGGCTGGCTTCTCTGAACAGATCAGTTGCTATTTTCTGTTTTTTGAGCACTGTTTCAACCTTCTGTTTGGGCTATGCAGGGTTATGACAGACCAACCAAGCAGTCCACCTGCTTTTTAAATTAGTCTTCAAGGTTTTAATTCCTCTTTTCATTGACCAAATACAGGTGAAAGGCAGTTACTGCCTATGTTATAGCCTTCTTTCAAAAATCTTTTCAGCTGTGGCCTCTTCTGTTATGGTTTATTCTTGGATATGACACCATGGGGATTCCAAATCTATTATCTCCTCCTTTTTCAAAGCTTCAAACCTTTAATGTGTCCACCCTCCTATTTTCATGCCTTTACCAACTTATTCCATTTTCTATAAACTTCTTTATTGATTCAGTTGGATTTTATTTGAAAGAGGGAGGAAAATGTTGCACTGATACCACCATCTTGAATTAAAATCGTTTCATTTCTGTTTGTTCAGAGCCTTTTCAGCTCTTTTGATTGTGGGACAGGGTTTTACTAAGTTGCCCAGGCTGGCCTCAAACTTACGATTCTCTTTTCTTAGTCTCCCGAGAAACTGAAATTATAGATGTGCGCCACTGTGCCAAGCCTTGAATTTCTTTTTACTACACAAAAGTTTGGTTTTAAATTTAAAAAGAAAAATTATTAACCAGAACAGAAAATATCCAGTGATACTTAAATCACAGGACACAAGCGGTGATTATTTTAGAAGTTCTGCACATTTAAGTATTTTCTTAAAAGAACTAGAAACCATCCAGCAGAAAAGTATGAAGATGAAATTATAAGAAATAAAGCCATGCTGTTAAGTTGAGCTGTGGGGGACTCAGGTCAATAATTTCTGACATTGCCAGTTAAACAGAAGACCCAATGCTATTATGGGCTACTGGACTCTTTTAGAATATTTTGCTGAGTTTACACACCTATAATATTCAATAACGGAACTTAGAAAAAATGGGGTATACAGATGAATGTCCATTTTGTATCTGTGTATTCAAAGTGGTTGGGATAGATATATAGTTGCATTCTGTTAATGAATAGAATGATTTGTTCTAATGGTGTTTGTAAATAGGATCACAAGTCCGCATCTTGTACAGCAATTAACCACTAAGAAGAATATATGCAGTGTATTATTTGTTGAAACTGTACTTCCGATTTGATTTGAAACTGTCTCATTGCTATCTTTTTATCAATAAAACTTTGAAAAAAAAAAAGAACTAGACACTACACCATAAGAGATATTTATCTCAACCAGGTATTTATTAAAAACATAATTACTATTCATATAATTCAAACAACAGCACTAACTGTCCTACAAACACATATTTTTCTTGAATATGAGTTTTGATCATTTAAAGTTCTCTAAATGATTTTGCCAGCCCAGCTCTAGACCTTCACCAACAGAGACAATCAGAATGGGAATTTATTGTGCACGTAGTCAGACCCATTCTCACAGTCCAGATGAAGAAACCCAGGCCATAGAAGACCAACTAACGCAGGACCATCTAACCTGTGGCAGGGACTGACAGGAATCAAACCCTTACAATTTCTGTATCACTGTTCTACTCACACATATTCCCATAGATTTTTCAGGTGGGCCTTGAACTCACTATGTAGTCCAGGCTGGCCTTAAACTCTTGGTGATCTTTCTGCTTCAGCCTCCCAAGGGCCGGGATTACAGGTGTGCATTTACACACATGGCTTGGCATATAATTTTCATAAAATCTTTTTTCTTTTCTTGACAGCGCTATCTTTTTTTTAGTACCTTTCTTTCCAGCTAAAATACAAGCTCCACAGGAGCATAAGCCCTGTTTATCTTGTTATTCCATTGGATTTCTCCCCAACTGTCTAAGTAATCATTAGATACACAATAATTATTTATAAATTAAATGAATGAAAACATCACATTGCCTTTCCATTCTCTTTGAGCTCATGGAAATTTAACACCTTAAAATAGTAGATTATGTGAAAAAGAAAGGGGCAGTATCTGTGAATAGCTTCAAATAATGTCTCTAATTTTCTTGGTATGTTGCTCATGTTGTGAAGTTTGCAGTTCTTTTTAAATTTGCAAAGGGGTCCATATTTATTTAAAAGACAAAAAAAGCTGAAAGACATTGTCCTAGGAAAAGGTGTCCATGATAGTGCTTTGTACCAATTTAGTCAGGATCCCAAGTGCTGGTTCTCTTTGGTTTAGTTTTAATTCCACAAGCTTACCCATACCCTCCCACCCCACACACCCTGGCATATTTCAGTAGCTTGGGATTTCTCAGGCTCAGTGGTAAGTGAGGAGGGCAGTCTGAGTAAGGGTGATTGCAAAGCAAATGATACCATGGTGCTCCTATGAGCAGATATTTAATAGCAGTATTCACCAATAGGTGTTTAGCACAAAAAGATTGTTAAATAATACCTTCTCTGCTGGCAGGATGTATTGCTTCATGAATTGCTTCACCTTAGTAAGAACCTCTTGGCCTTTTCTAGTCTGTACAAACAGATGTTTGGTGCTATCAGCTGGTGGCAGCGCAGTATTGAATGTTCTTTACAGAAAAAAATTAAAAAGATATGCAAAATCATTATAGATTTTTCTGAAGATAATGTGAAGGCTTCCTCAATTTTCCCAAAAACATTCCTCAGAAAATTTTAGACTTTGTTCTTTCATATTAGGAGATAAATGTAGAATGACTTTTTTGGAGCATTAATGTTGAGTCATTATTTGTGAAAAATATAGTTTTGAATCTTTATTGAAGCCCAGAGTTATAACCATGAAGAGAAGTGAGGCTAGTCCACACAAATCTAATTCTTATTCTTAGTATGCGCCCACTAATGACACTGCAGAATGTTACGAAGATCTTTGAACTTAAAGGTACGCCAGAAAAAAACAAAACAAAAAAAAGTTACGCCAGGCCTGGTGGTACCTTCCTACAATTCCAGCTCTTGGGAGGCTGGAACAGGAGGATCATTTCAAGTTTGAGGCCAACCTGGGCCTCCTGGTGAGCTCAAGACCAGCCTGAACTACACAGTGAGACTCTGTTTCGAGAAAAAAAACAAGGGCTGGGGAGATAGCTCAGTGGAATAAGTGCTTGCTTGCTAAGTGCAAGGTCTTGAGTTCAATCCCTGGTACCACACACACACCCACACACACACACACACACACACACACACACACACAAAAGACTTCCCTACTTGGGAGTTTTGAGTTTACTTCATCTTATGCTGAGTTAAGATAATTTCCCACAAAAAGAGAAGAAACCATGGTATTTCCAAATCCAAGCA